ACGTTTCAAACACACTGACTGCTGGAGCGTAACATCACATGAGAGAGCTCCTTTTCACTACCACAGATTCATTTTCCCTAGTTTAACTTTAAAACACACTAATTTAATGATGCATTGTGGCCCTGGCTGATCTGATGTACTGTTATATAAAATGATCACAAATACACATTTTAATGGATAATTTATCATGCCACTATATTCGCCCTGTAGAAAAAGTTTTTTTTTTTTTCATGGAGAATAAATTTGACAATAACCCTGACTCAGCGTTTTCAGGGTAATAATTTGATCTTTTGTGTTAACACATTGATTGCATAATTAATTCTGCAATATAATTTTTTATTATCTACCATTTTTATGTGAAGTGGCTGTGATGAGAGTCAGTTCCTCTAAGTCTGAGGCCATGGTTCTTAACTGGAAAAGGGTGGAATGTGGAATGCTCCCTTTGGATCGGTGGAGAGTCTCTGTCCCAGGTGGAGGAGATAAAGTATCTGGGTGTCTTGGTTACAAGTGATGGTAGAATGAGCGGGAGATGTATTGACAGATTGGGGTTTCGTCCTCAGTAATGAAGGCGTTGCTTTGGTCAGTCATGATGTAGAAAGAGCAGAGACAAAAAACAAAGCTCTGAATTTACTGGTCTGTCTTCGTTCCAACCCTCACCTGTGGTCATGAGGCGTGGATCATGACCGAAAAATGAGGTCCTGGATACAAGCGACCAAAATGAGTTTCCTTCACAGGGTGGCTGGGCTCAGCCTTAGAGATAGGGTGAGGAGCTCCATCATCTGGAGGGAGCATGGAGTAGAGCCGCTGCTCCTCCATGTCGAAAGGAGTCAAATGAGGTGGTTCATCTGATTGGGATGCCTCCTGGACGCCTCCCTTTAGAGGTGTTCCGGGCACGTCCCCCTGGTAGGAGGTCCCAGGGAAGACCCAGGACTCGCTGGAGGGACTATGCATCCTCTCTGGTCTGGGAATGCCTTGGGATCCCCCAAGACTAGCTAGAAAGTTTGGATGGGGGAGTGATGTTTGGGTTTCTCTCCTGGACCTGTTGCCTCCGCGACCCAACTGTGGATAAGAGGCTACTGATGTCTAACACAGTTTTCCTAATGTGCACTAATTAACCACAATAAGACTTGTATATTTTTTTTCTCAAGCCATTGTAGATTTAACAGTTCTTTATTTTAGTTTAATTCTCTAGAAGTACTGTTCAATATTCTGTGGATTGTTGGGTGTTTTTCCAGGCTTAGAGACATGATGAAGATCTTATTTTTTTGTCCAAGCTTGGATTTAAGACGTTTGGCTTGTATGGTTTGAATTACATCTATTTTCTACTTTTGAAGGGTTTTAAAAAGCCAATAAAATGATGAAGAATATGCAGCGTTCAACTTAACCAGTTTAAACTGGGTAAAGTATAAAGACATTCAAATGAAGACTAATAAGAAGCAGATGTGTTTCTAGTCTCCCATGACATGTCTGTATAAACTTTGTCATAAACATTTAATAATCAAAATGAGACAGCATCATTGTGTCCAAATAATGATGACTAAATTTATAAAAACCATCATAAAACAATGTTCATGTGATTGAAAACAGTTATAGCTGCTCACTGCTCTTTGTTTGCTGCCCATAAGGTTTKTACATAAAGATAATGTCATAACATCTGATGTCTTACCACATCAGGTCTTTTACTGTTGTGGGGTTATTTCACAGAAGTGGCTTCCTGTAGTCTTGTTTGAGTATCAAACACCACTTATAGCCAGTTTATGTGTTTGCTAAGGAGGAAACGAGAGAACTGTGGAACTAACGATCAGTTTCTCTGTAGAGAAATTCACCAACACCCTTTTAATGAGTCACAAGGTGACTGAAAAGCTTTACTTCTGTACACTGTGGACATTTACTCAGAGTTTACCTTTTTTAGGAATAGTTTGTTCTGTCGGCCTGTAAAATTGACTACATAGTTTTTTGTGTTTTAATAATCGAGATCTGGTTGACGCTCACATGGATTTATTTACTGTTGGGTCCACACTACTTTTTTTGTTGTGTAATCCACTGGATGAAACTGCTTATGAGAACATGCAGCGTCAGAGGTCAGTCCCAGATCAACCTGCTCCTGTTGAACAGAACTGGACCATAGCAGGCCCTGATGACAATATGGGCCTAGTGTTTACCTATAGAACCCAGCCTGTGTTTACCAGGCATATCATCAGATCCTTCCTTCTGCAGCTGTGACCAGTTTTAGTCAATGAAAGGTGTCCGTATTGAAGATAACAAGTTGGGCTGAAAGAAATGTAGAAACTGACAGGAAGTGAATCAAAATGGTTTTGTGCTTAAAATTTACTTTTTTTCATAAGGAGAGACAGGCTGTGTCTGTATTGTTATCCTTCATAAAAGATCTTATGAAGTGATGTAAGTTGATGAGAAGGAGGAATTAAAGTTTTATTTTTTTATGCATAATTATTAGGGATGTCCTGATCAGATAGATACTTAGTATCGGTATCGGTGGCAGATATGGCCATTTTTTGAAAATCGGGTAGAATCAGATTTAGTCATGTGATCGGGCCGATCCAGTTTTCGTGACAGTTTTCAGCATCATCATGCTTTACAACTGCCGTTAAGAAGTCAAGACGCACACAAGTATGCAACCATGTCCACAATGTAGGAACACTTTTCAATGGAAAACGATGCTAAAACTGCATCTTGCAAAATCTGCAAACTGGATGTTTCTTGTGGTGGGAACAGCAGGGCTCGCTTTAATACTACCAACTCTGTCACTTGGAAAGAAATCAAAAAGTAAAGCTATCGGATCGGTATCGGAAAGACTAATCATTTAAAAAATTGGATTGTATCGGGAGCCAAAAAATCTGGATCGGGACATCCCTAATACAGTGGTTTGCAAAAGTATTCATACCCCTTGAACTTTTCCATATTTTGTCACATTACAACCACAAACATAAATATATTTC